CTGTCGGCCCCGAATCTGGTTTACTGCACACTTGTGTTTGCATTCCACACCCTGTATGACAGCAACTTTGCAGAGTGCCCTCTCGTACACCAGGACCCCTGGGGGGATGTCGGAGAGCCGGTTTTGGCCAATCCCCACAGGCCAGGCCGAGGGACCCCAAGTGTCAGAGGGACCCCGCTCACTCCGCAGATGCCCTTCGAGCCATGGTACCACCCCAGGTGCGGCCAGCCAGGGAGGGACTACGGGAGGTTGGCTCCAGGGTGTGACCGGCCCATCTCGCCCAGTCCTGCCCCGCTGGCCACCTTCTAATTAATTTCCTTTTAATGTGCATGAATCCGTGCACCGGGTCACTAGTTACAAATAAAAAGCTTGACTCTCCCTCCAAACTAAATTCTAGACCAGAATAATAAAGTATTGGTTGGATAAGTACTTGAAAAAGAAAAAAGAGACTAACCAAAGAATATATATGCATAACTCATGAACATAGACAATAGTGTGGGGAAGGCCTGGGGAGGGGTTGGGGGGAGGGGAGCAAAGGAGGTGGAAATGGGGGCCATCTGTAACACTGTCAACAATAAATAAAAAAAGAAAAAAGTCACTAGCAGCAAGCACAAGCTCTCTAAAATCACACCCAACTTATCCCAGACGCTTTTCTGTTACAGTCACTTGAATCATTATTGGGATAATTCTTTATAGGTACAGTATATGTGGAGGCAGACAGGACTATAAAGGCTATCAGGACTTCCAGTTGATAAGATGAAGAATCCAGGCTTCAGAAAGGTAAACCTGAAAGGTGTCTTGTGGTGGGACACGGAGCTCTATGCCCTTGGTCCTGTGCTGATCTAAACTTTGATCAATAACATATAGATAAACTTAGGGTTATTACCTAGGAATAATATTCATCAGAGAAAAGGGGAAGATTCAAAAGTTAGTATGATAAGCAAAAACAGAATGAAATTTAACTAGAACATACGTAAAGCCACTGCAAGTTTCAAAACCCTGCTTCCTAAATAAAGGATGGGAGCCGTTTGGTTTTTGATGCCAGCAAATACCACAGGGTGATACAGCTACTCAATCTGGGCCGAATTTGGAAACATATCTACCTCAGTTGGATAACAACCGGACAGCAAAGTTCCAGTCTGAGTATCACTGAGAAACAATGACGAACAAAAGGAAATTCAGGGAGGGGAACCAAGATTAGAAAAAGGTTTGGGGATCATGTCACACAAATGACAGTTGAAAGGGTGAGAATGTAAATTGGTATAGCCACTCTGGATAGTAAAGACAGAATCCTGTAAAACTGAAAGTAACCATACCCTGTGACCCAGCAATCCCATTTCTAGTTACATATTCTGGAGAAACTCTCACAAATTTACACAATTACCAAAACAGAACTGTTTATAAATTCAAAATTCAGGAAGTAGTTAGGCTTCTGTAAATAGAAGAATGGCAAGGCAGAAAAGGGTCTATTCACACTTTGGGATACTTTGCAGCAGCTAAAAATAATGTTGTAGGTCTACTTATCAATCAGGATGGGTTAAATTTAACAAAAGGAACCTAAAACTTGAGTGGCTTAACACAACCAAAGTCTATTTATTCCTTATGTTACATATTTAAAGTATGTTGGCACAAAAGCTCAATGTACCTATTCTTAGACCCAGGCTGACAGAGGCCCCATCTCTAGTTGCCAGGGGGAATGAAATGAGGTAAAATTCAGACTGGCTCTTAAAATTTCCATTTGGCCTGGCCGGAGAGGCTCAGTTGGTTGAGCATCATCCTGTGCACCTAAAGGTTGCGGGTTCGATTACCGGTTGAGGCACGTACAGAAGGCAACCAACTGATGTTTCTCTCACATCGATGTTTCTCTCTCTAAGCCTGTTCTCTGGTGAGAATTAAAACACAAACAAACAAACAAACAAACAAACACCTTCCATTTGGAAGTACACCCATTACTTTTGCTGACATTTTAGTGACCAAAGCAAGTCACATGGCCACACTTAACTTCAAAAGGGGAAGGGACTAGGTACGATCCAACTATAGGCCCAGATGGCAAACAGCCAACAATATTAGTTATATGCGATGACTAATACAATATATAGTATGGAAAGATTAATACAAAACATATGTAAAGATCTAAGACATTTTGCTGTGTGGACAGAATACATACACATATGCATAATACCATCATTTATATAAATTAAAACAGAGATCCAAAACAAATCTATGTGTTGTTTGTACATACCTATAAAAGCATGAAACTGATGACACTAGGAGAGATGATCAAGGGGAGAAATAGCTATTTCTGTAATGTTTTAATTCCTTTATTTAAGAAAAATATGACAAAGTCTCAATAGCTGATAATCCTGGCTAGTGGAGAATCTGAATATTCATTATATTATTTGAATTTTTCCACTCTATTAAAATCATTGAAATAAGAAGCTGTTGAAAAAAACCAGGAATTTTTTTAGCTTGAGAAGACTATAGGTGGGAGAATGAGGAAAAGAAAGTAGGAAAACAGATAGCTTTAACTATTTCGGACAAAGGAGATTTGCTCTGTGTGGCTATCGAGGAGAGAGCTGGGAACAATGGTGAGAGTTCCAGGAAGGCAGATCTTGGCTTGGGAATAAAGAATGACCTATCATGGAAAGATGAGTGAGCAGCCTCAAAAAATGTGTGGAAGAAAAGAATTTCTTTGGGGGGAAAAGAGGTCAAGAGTCAGACAACTGCCTGTCTGAGAAAAGATTGTGAAGAGGATTCTGGCACCGGGAAGGCACCTGAATTCTGTGATCTCCAAGGTCCAATTTTCAAATCCCATCAGTGTTGGACCAGAACCTCTCAGTTTAGAGCTCACAGGTTCTGGGAAATGCAAGTTATCCCAAGACAAGCTTTAAAAAATAATGCAACAATCTGAATTCAATACAGCCTTTAACGGTGCTATCTGGGAATATTTCACAATCAGTAAGGAATAATTCATTTAATTGGGCCTGAAAATTATTATAATCAGGGGGTTACAAGCGTTATACTGGCCTTGAATAAAGTTGCTTTAATTATCAGGCCTTGCACATAATTAAATCAGTATTATTTGTAGAATTGTTGCCTATTTAATCACTAAAGTCAAACTGCTCCCACAGCTAAAGAGATCTCCACATACCCTAGCCCAGTGGTTGGCAAACTGCGGCTTGCAAGCCACATGCGGCTCTTTGGCCCCTTGAGTGTGGCTCTTCCACAAAATACCGACTTCTGCGCATGGGCCACGAAGTTTCAATCGCACTGTACATGCG